CTCCATGCTCACTAACATTTTAGGTCCACTGTTCACTTACAACCTCGATCAGCCCAAGATTTGGTAGTTTAGGATTTAAGTCTGTATTTTTATTCTTTATGTACTTTTTATCTTTCTTAAGTCAATTATATATTCTAGTGGATCCTAAGGCTAAGGAGCCTTACATAGATACACACTCAAGGGGGTGAGTTAGTGAGTTAGGAAAAAGTTGAGTTTTTTGAACTAATCATAAAATATGATAAATTAACCAAAAATACTTAAATAGGACACCCGTGATAATTAAAATTGATTAAAATAATCATATTGTATGACTCCTATCGTAAAGTATGATCCATTATAATCATCAAAATAGCTACCAATCATAATTTGAGCAATATATTTTATAATACAAAATTTGTGTCTAATCATACCGTATGATATGTATCATACAGTTTGATATATGATAGTTATGCCTAAATTGATCAAGTGATTAGGGGAGTAATTATGGTTAATTTGATCAAATAGATCGTACAAGATGATCTATGATGATCATACTATATGACTTTATTCTTTCTTGGGATAAAACGTTATCATCTCTTATCGTCCAAGACAAATTGTTATAGTTTTTAAACTAATCATATAGGATGTCCTCCAATGTCATATTGTATGAATTGAGCTATACATGGGACAAAAATTTATCATCGCATATCATAGAAACTCTTGAACTGATAGTACAAAATAATGCAATTTGTAGTATCTAAAAAGGTTATTTGCTATTAATTATACTGGACAATACTCTTAATTATCATGGATGATTCGTTCATCTCTTTAAACTGATCGTACATAGTCTATCTCTTCATAGAGTACTAACAAGAGTACTTTGAACTAATTGTACATGATGATCTTGGATTAAACTGGACAATCATAGTCGACAAATTAAGATTGTTGCCTTTCTAAGAGGCTCTTTTTAAAAATCTAATTTAGTATTGTTTCCAAAAAAGACTTTTGTTGCTAAGTGCCTTAAGTGAGAGCATAGAGAGGGAATTAAGGAGTGCTTAGGGAGAGAATAGAGGGAGAGTTATTTATTAGAGAGAGATGTGAGGGATTCACTAGGTCACTCCAAGCAAGGATATTCCCTATCTTCTTTAAGCCTTTACCTTGATCCTTTGGTGGCTCTAGGGAGAATAGTAATAGTTGATGGTTCTCTGCCATCAATAGGTTGGAGAAAAAGGATTCAGGTTCTTTGCCTTCAAGAGGAGGGTAAAAAATGATTCTAGGTTCTCTGCCTTCACTAGGAGGGTGAAAAAGAGTAAGGTCCCAAGCCACACCCGGTTGTTTGAAGAGATTTTAAAGGGTTTCTCTGCCTTTTTGTGGGGGAAAAAGGAGCGAAACTAGTTTTAGTGGAATACCTGGAAAGGAGGTTTCTAGGGAGTGGACGTAAGTTAGGTTGGACTGAACCACTATAAATTATAGTATGTTTGTTCTTATTATTTTCTATGCTTTATTTTTTTATGATGAATCGTGCGGTTGAAAACTCAAATCTTTTTATTATTGTTAAATTAATTCACTTCTGCATGACGAGATAAATTTTTTTATTTTTTAGATATTGAAATTTTTTTTGTAAAAGAAAATTTAAAATTACCAATTCACCCCCCTCTTGGTTAGCCTCAGGCATTTTCTTTGAGGTCTCACAACCTCTTCAAACTATCATTATATATATATATATATATATATATAATTGGTTTCTTGGTAACGTACGAAAAATCGATAGAACTTTATGTTAAATTTTTATGTAAATTTATAATTATCTTTTGAGTCCCTCGATAGTTGTTGGGTTTTAAATAAAGGTATGAAGAGTTTTATTAGGCATTTAGATTATGATTTCATCACGGTTGATTAATGAAATTGTACTTTTATGATTCTAATGAACTTTGGATTCTTGAATTAATGCCTTTATTTTAGATATCTTCTTATCTAATACTATTTTAGTCTTTTGCTAATTGCTAATAGTGGAATCAACTCATTATTGTAATGTATAGATATTTTTTTATGTTATTTCATATAAATATGATTTTTGTTTTGTTTAAATAAAAAGTTTTACTCATTCTGATAATGATTTGTCCTTTGCAAAATGGGAACTATTGAGAGGCTCGGCTTGTTTATTATAACCTGAATTGACAAATGGATCTTATCTATATGTTTAGTTGATATAAAAAATTAATAATGATAGATTTCTTATATATTGAAATGATCAATTCTTAGGTATTAATTTTTTGTTATCGAGTAATGTGTAATTTGGAGAAAATGATTTTTTATTGAGATACTTTCATTTCTTAATTTTTCCTGATCATTAATACTTGACAATTGTGGTACTACTGAACAATCTTTTGAATCTTTCCTCTATTAATTGTGTAAGCACATACTTTTATTGTAATAGAAGGAATAAATCTTATTATCATTTATTTTCAATAAGGCCTCTATCGAGAGTAAATTTTCATTACATTGTGTCTTGTATAGTTGGCTCGTTTCTTTTGTCGATATTTTCCAAGGCTATATTGGATGTTTCCTTCGAAGAATGATTCAAGTAAAATTGCAATACCCTCAAATGTAGTATTTGAAAATTTAATTAGCCCTGGCCCTCATCCCTTTGTTCCATAACACATTATATTATGTTTTTCCTTTTGATCATAAGAATTTGAACTTAGATGTTCTTTTAATGCAAATTCACTACTTTATAAGCTTTCAACTTGTCCAGCTAACTACGATCGAGTACATAATCCGTCTGTTCTCTAAAATATGTTTTTTTTCACTTGCATAAAGGAAAAGCTCATTTCCTGATTAATGAGCTTTCAATTTAAAATAGTAAGAAGATTATTTTTTATCCACTCTTTCGATTAAATTTAAGAAAATTTAAGAAATCTGTAAATATATATTCTCTTATGAAATATTTTGCACTCATTTTTTTATCAAAGTTAAAAAAATAGTATACTTCACTAATATAATTAAAAATTAGAATTACTTATAGGGATAAATTAATATTTTATCTTTTTATCATAGAAAATATAATTTACATTTTCATAATATGAATTCTTATATTTAAATTTTTATTCACATGCATTTAATGCACGTACAATAAAACTAAATATCTCAAATCTTTGCTACAATGGGTTCTTTTAAAAATCCAATAAAACTAAATATCCCAAATCTCCACTACAATTGGTTTTTTAAAATATTATCTGAAATAATTTAAGTTTCAATATTGCCTCAGATTTACATATAAGTGACGAACTTCATATTGGTGAATTGCACTAAGTGCCATACCAATTTCTATTTACAATTAGCCGTTTCTCACATAACTTTGCACTTTTTAAGTGAAATTTCCCTTCACAATATTGTGTTGGGAAAGTAATCCACACAGTCTACAAACAAGAAATGGAAAATGCAGCAAAAAATGTCATGATTTAATGTGGAAAATTTTGAAATTTGAAAACAAAAACTTGAGCCACACAACACCAAGATGTTCACAATAAAACTTGGGAGAATTTGTTCATATCTCCTTATTTCTCACTCTCTCCTTGTCTCTCCTTATTCCATACACCATTCTCTACACATAATAGATAAACAAACAAAGATTGAACTAACCAAGGGGCATAATACTTCAAGTTAAACAAGAGAAACCAGAAATAAAAGGTCTAGCCCCACTTGCAACATTGCATCGCCAATTTTGGAGTGCCACAAGACTCCACTCTATGTCTCTTGTATGACTAACCAAGTAACTACATCAAAATCTAGAGTGTTGTGACCTCTCTCTGTCTATCTCCAAGACAACTATACAACAACGCAATAATGTATGAGAAAGGAAAAAAATTTGGTACAAAATAGTAGAACCCAAGCACATAGAGAAACTATGTAACCCCCCCCCCAAGAGCTCAACCAACATAATTGAGGTCCCATACAATAATATAAATTGATTTATCAAAACAATCAGATTCTATACAGAGCTAAAAATTTGTTATATTTATGAGTTAGATTTTTCTATTTTGTAAAAAAAATAATTATTTTATATAAAATCCTCTAATTAACAAATAATTATCTTGTGCCCCAAACAAAGTTCTCACTCAGAATACTTTTGAAATTTTTTTTTCTTTAAAAAATAACAAGTTATGTCAAGGGAAAGATGCAAGCATATTCTAAATTTTCAACACTCATCATTAGTTGTTATGTTTATAGTTGATCAAACATAGGTCCAAATCAAACATCGACGCCATTCAAAAAAATTTAATTGATATGAATGCAATTAATTTATACCTTTATTGCAAACTAAAACTTAAGAAAAAAATTAGCAAGTTGGTAATATAAGAACAAGTCCAAGCAATAGACATTTGTTTCCTTCTTTATAGGCCAAAACATTTATTTGATCTCTTCTTCTACCATATAATATTCCCTTAAAATAATGACTTAATTTATAAACTAAATTCATAATAACTCCATTATGTGCAATAATCCACTGCCTATAAAACCCCACCTTCTCTTGGCTTACTCCTTCAAGTTATGCTAAGTAGAGCTTCAAAGTTCTATTCTCATGGCGATATTTTCTTCTATACTCTTCTATTATATTCTTCTCAATTTATTATTCTCTTTTCTTCTAATAGAAAATAATTCTCTAGTATCAACACAAAAGCTTGTTGGAGAATACCATGTCATTGACATCAAGTCACTGTTGCCGAGCAACTCCTGCTCCGTGCCTAATAAACGTTTGTGAGAAATTTCTATAATTTCTTAATACCCTATTGAAGGCTTATTTTTTCATAAAATAATTAGAATAATAAGAAATCATGCAACAATTGAGCTCATTTGATAGATATTTCAAGATTTAGCTCATTTGATAGATATCACAAGCTTAAATGTGATGCTAAAGAAAAAAAACTCAATACATAGATTAATTAGTTGTTCCAATTGTGACAGGCACGAGCCCTTCCAAGCTCAACGTGGTCCACTTGCATGGCTTATGCTCATCCTGGATGGGCCAGGACAAGCCGTCACATGTGGAGCTCTTCCGTCAGGACCAAGCCCGCGTAGACTACATCCATCACCGGGCATCCAACGCCATCACCCACCTAAACCATATTGGCAACTTTCTTTTTACAAGAGTTCCAGCAATCATCGATTATAATATTAGTCGCTATAGCTATATTGTCAACATAGGCCTAGGCACTCCTACCAAGTTCTTCTCATTTACATTCGACACCGGTAGCGATCTCACTTGGACCCAATGTGTCCCCTGCGTTAATTGTCATACCCAAAAAAACCCATTTTATGACCCAGCCCAGTCCTTTACCTTCACCAACATCCCATGCAACTCTAATTATTGTACCCAACTTGATCAATTTGGTTGCTCCTCTACCTTCACCTGCCTCTATGAGGAAGAATATGTCGATAATTCTAAAACTAACGGCTCCCTCATTAAAGATGCCTTACACTTATCCAATGATATTATTTATAACTTTGTCTTCGGGTGTGGAAATAACAATACCAGAATTTTTGGACATGAAGACGGGTTATTAGGCCTCGGTCGTGGGCCTATTTCAATTATCAACCAAACACCTCAATTGTATAACAAAATATTCTCATATTGTCTACCATCAAGGCCCAATACATATGGATATCTCGAACTAGGTAGCTCAGTCGTTGGTGTGAAGTATACACCGATGCTAACCATTCCAGAAATGCCATCCTACTACTTCCTTAATCTCACTACCATTTCAATCAGGGGCAAAAAGCTCGCCCTTCCACCTACTATCTTCAGCAAACCTGGAACTATGTTGGACTCTGGAGCAACATTCAGCCACCTACCACCCATTGCCTACTCCACCCTCCGTAGCATTTTCCGAAAAGAAATGAGCAATTACCCAATGGCGCCGCCACTATTCAATCTTGACACATGCTATGACTTCACTAACTACCAACATGTGCTGGTGCCAGAGATTTCATTGATCTATGATGGTGAAGTGACAACAAACTTACATCACACAGGGATACTTTTTGTGTTCAATAAATCTCAAGCTTGCTTACCCTTCGTTGAAAATATGGATGATAGTGATGTTGTGATAATTGGTAGTAGGCAACACCTCACGTTCAATGTAGTCTATGATGTGGGGAACTTACAAATTGGCTTTGGGGCTAATGGCTGTAGCTAGTGATGGATAGACCATGTTGATAGGGTTAAATGCAATGTATTGATGTAGCTAAAATGAATAGGTTCCATCATAATGGTTATAAAATCGGGGTGTACGGGACAATAAATATAGTCTTGAAAAAAAGTTCAATTGTATCCAAATTTTATGAAATAATTAAATATCAAATTAAAAAAAAAATTTATGAGTTGATGAAAACCATTAAGATGTGATTAATTTCTTTATAACTAAGGGAACATGATGGCATTATTTTTTGAAGGTTAAAATTTTGATTATCAGAGGTAAAATGACATCTTTCTTCACAAAAGAGCTTATACTTAAAAAGAATGAAGACTGCTGGTTTTGATGTTTTTTGTTCAGTGTTAGACCCTTACAAAGTCAAATCATCACATTTTTTCTAAAACTTCATCCTTTTGGTTCTTATTTTGGCTTCAGTTTTCTTTTTTGTTATGTTCTGTAAATGGAAGCATTTAAGTTTTGTAAGTTTTTCAAACCCATTTGGCCATACAAACTAACACATTAAAGCTTAGATGCAACCAATCCCATATTCCATAAATATGGGGATATTTGACTAAATCAGGCAAACTCACATACCAATCACTTACACTACCTTAGAACACAAGAACTCGGGTTGAAACCAAAGATCCAAACCAATAGATAATTGATAGTTGCATAATGATTAGTTATGTGATTTACATTTTTGTAATTTTGAAGAATTTTTTTTATGTATTATGCCCCCACACAAAGAAAATTATGACTACACCACTATCTGTATGCATCATGTATGAGTATGTTCATCCATAATTATTATACAATTCTCAAACATATGTTCATCCACAAAAAGAAAAGTTCTAATCTCCATCATATGCTTCATTAAGTGGGGCCAAAGGCATTGACATTGAAGCCCTTTCCAAAGTGTCTTAACGACATTTTGAACTTCATTTGATTAGTGATATAATTTGATATGTTACAAGCACATTAAGATTTTATAGTAAAAAAAAAGGGTGAATTAAGGCTGCATGAGAAGGCTAATACTCACATTAATTATTTTTTTTTAAGTTTTTATATATCATATAAATTAAATTATATAAATAGAATTTTTATATAAAATTTTTTAATTTCCATATCTAAAATTTTAGAATTTAAAATTTTAAATAGTTATTGAAGAAATGTAGATAATTTTTTTTTAAATAATTAATTTGTGTTTTTGATTAAAAAAATTATGACTCTGCCACTATCAAAGAGAAACTCTATATCACCAGTAAGCTCTCTATGACATTGATTTAGACCACCAGTATTATACCATAGCATTGATTTTGTTCTTCAACACTTTCGTTGCTAGGCCACTAGTCCTGGATGAGAGAAGTGGAGAGTTGTGTTAAGTAGTCAACAGCCAGCATAAAACTTGTCAAATAATCATGACATGAATCTTTTAAATGGTGAAAAAAGGTTTCACATAGCCAACCCCGCATAGTTGGACAAAGGCTTGATGTTTTTGCTGTTATTATTGTACTGATTTTGTTCTTCTATGGACATTTTTTCATGGAAGACTACTAGGACAAGGAACGTGTCGTTGAGATCTTTTTTTAGTACATAGAGGTTAAACTGAACAATTTAGTGAAGTATGTTGCTTGCAGGTTGAAAGAAGGTGCTAGTGCTTAGTGGGCCAAATTTTTTCAAATGAGACACAAAGAAGGAAAATGATGGATTTGGAGTTGGTATAAGATGAAATAGCTTTTGAGTGGTCATTTCCTTCCCACTAATTTTGATCAAGTACTTTATCTGAAATATCAAATTTTGTTTGTGCAATGGGATTGTTATGTAAGAGATTATACATAAGAATTCTACAGGTTGAGTGCACGAAACAATCTCAATGAGTCAAATATTCAAATCATTTCATGATATATTGGTGATCTAAATGACATCTTATACAATAAATTGGAGTTGAACTCGATATGGTCATTATCTCATGTTGTTAATTTTGCGTTGTAAGCCAAAACACAACTAAGTCAGTATTTAAATTCACACTCTTCTCATCACCAGTTCACTAAATTAGCTGTGGAAGGTAATAAGTTCAATAACCACTAATTAAAATTCATGTAGCTTTGTAAGAACCAAATCACCCAACCATCTCAGCTGCGATTAATATGGATAATAAATTGAACCCAAAACTTAGAGTACAAACCTGTTAAGTGATATGCTATTTGATACTTCATGACATTTCAAATATGCTTATTTTTGTTTACATGCTTTCATTTTAGGCTTTGAAGGTGTATATTGCCCAATGCTACCACTCCATGAAACATTTCTTAAAGCTAGATGATCAGATACTTTAGTTGAAGTGGTGACCAAATTTGGTAATACACATAATAATCAAGTAACATTTATAATAATTGATTCAGAAATAATGAATCATGGTTGTAATTCATTATTAGATTAAGATAATCAATAATATTGATAATTTTTTTTTAAATTTCATATTAACGTAATCATATAATATATGCCTTATGTAGAGTATTTCTATCTGATCATCATGGAGCTAATACTTTTTATTTTATGATAAATATCTTGGCCTCAAAAATTTATAATAAGATATCATGATATATGTTTTGTATGCTAATATACTTTTCGAGGGAGTGGAAGTTGCTAGGAAGTTCCCTTTATTCTATTAAGTAACATTTTTTTGATTAGATGGAGAAAAATATTTTATATATTTATATGTAGGTCTTCATTGCTCATGTGGGATATGAATATTAGAGATCAGTGAAAGAAAATGTTCAAAATCACAAGCTAACATGCATATGCAGCAAAGTAAAATATTGGAGGAGCTACAAAAAATTGGGGGCAGTTTAGTGGAAAGCAGCCAACAATGATGAAGAAGAACGATGATACAGATTTTGACTTGACTACATGTGTATGTAAATTTTATGTTGAATTTTTATTCTATAAGAACTAGATGTTAATTATAGAAATATTTGAACATTTGTTTTTAATTGAACAGGTAATTACTTGAGCATTAATATTCTTGTGCAATGTTGAAATGTGAATGTAGAAATATTAAAACAAAATTTTTTGATTGACTGTGTTTGTACATATGTTATGTTCTACAATATTTAAGGCAAGGTGAATTATTTTTTTTGCTATGGTGAAGGTTTTAGATGTATTTTTGACCAAAAAACCATAAATAATGACGATATGATCTATTTCTGCCAATCATTATCCGCCAATAATACTGGTAGAATTCCCAAAGCAGCTTATGCCATAATTTTTGGCTACAGGTGTTGTCCAAATTTTTTGCGGTTGGTCATCAAACAATTGAGCCAATATTACTAGCAAAATTATGATGGATAAATTTGCCAGAATTACCAGTAGAATATTTGTATGTAATTTGGATAAAAGGCGGCATTTTATTGCCATGGTTATGTCAAAAATTTGATGGTACAACGTAAAAAAAATTTCCTATGAAAAGTTTATATAGTAGGCCACTTTCCAACATGCATTTCACTGGGAAAAAGAAATCTAACGAAAAGAAGTTGATTTGGTAAATGGCTATTGGAAATAGGAATTTTTTTCTTTAGTGAACGATTATTCACCGGTGAGTGCTTTAAAGGAAGAGGAGAGAGAAGATCCACGAAAGTAGGAAGGATTTTGAAGAAGGCTTTGAAGATTTTGGGTGCTAGTGTTGGAGATGGATGATGGTGGCCGGTCATCTAAGGATGACTGGAACACCAAAACCTGCTTTCTACCACGAGTCCAATTATGTTGGATTCAAAAGGTAGACTTTCCTTCAAACGCATTTCTCCTTTTCGAATTTTGGAATCTCCTCTAATCATAAGAGAGGGAGATTTGAATGCAAGGCAAAAGCCTTTGCCGATTTCAGGCAAAGGTAAAGGAGTAATTTCATCGTTGAATGATAAGCCAAATCCATTGTCGGCTATCATCTCTGGAGCTAATGATAAGGAGGCATCTTCTTCAGGAGGAAGTTTTGCTAAAATTTTGAAGAAGGATATTGATCCTATCAATTCTTCAAAAATGGATAATTCTAATGTGTGGATCAAAAAACCTCACATTAAAATTAATTTTAGTGGAAATTATGAATATTTTGGAGATGCAAATGTTGTCAAATTGGACATTGAAAAGGAAAATTATAATGTTCAACTTTTGAACAAGTCTTTAGTTGTTAAAATCCTTAGGAAAAACTATCCTTTTTCTAAGTGTTCTTTTGAATTAAGAAAGCAATGGTTGAAATATGGGGGATTTCATATTACATTGCTTGGTTTAGATTGGCTCCTTTGTTCTTTCCAGTCGCTTTAAGCCATGAATGAAGTTCTTAACGGATGTCCTTGGTTTGTAGGAGGGTTTGTGGTAGGTTTAGACAAATGGTCATCTAACTTCTCACCTAATTCTTTGGATGGAATTTCAGCTCCAATTGGGTTCGTCTTCCTCATTTACCGTTACACTGTTGGGATGAATCCAATATCACTAGAATTGTTTCTAGAATTGGAACACCTATTTTATTGGATGGTAACATGTTTAGATGGGGGAGAAGGGAATATGCTAGAGCTTGCATACGAGTTAATTTGAATTCTAAACTACCATTTGGTATTTGGGTCGAAGGCATTAATGGTAGGTTTTTTCAAAAATTTGAATTTGAAAATCTATCTTCATTTTATTACAAATGTGGAAAGATTGGACATATTGATTTCGTATGTCCAAATTCAACACAAATTCAAATTCAACCTGTTATAGATGGTGCTTACGGTTCTTCTCTTATTGATAAAAACCCATATGGGCCTTGGATGCATGTGAAGTACAAAAATAAAAGAAGAATAAATACATAGAAAAAAATTTTAATGTTCTCTCTTTCAAAGTTAAATTAGATGGAGGTTGTGTTAATGCTAATAATGCTGCCTTGGAAGAAGATGAAGGTGACAGTTTCACTGGAGCAGAAATTAGCATTGATCAAGTTGATGCTATTATTAAGGAAGGAGATGGAAGAACTG